TTCCATATCAATACAACACCAGGGGCTCAGACGGTATGTCCTTGTTCTGAAACTCTACGTAAATAAGCAACTGATACCTCATACACTTCATATCCCGGCATTAGAGAGGGCGTGGCTGCGCACTTTATTCGAGCATAGTATAGGATACATCCATTCGAGACAACTGTCATTCTGTCCTATGCTGGATAAAGACATACCTACAATGGTCGCAGAATGTAAGCTTCCCACTAAAGTCCCAACAGTTGCGAGGTTCAAATGAAATACGCGGCCACGCCCTCTCCATCTTTGGGATAGAAAGGGTGATAAGTCTCACTCAAACAATAAAATAGGTGAAACTTCATTTTGGTCTAGAAATGCCTTTCTCAACGAGAACACTTTACTTACGTAGTCGTACGATACGGCAACCAATTCTGGATGTTGTTCTGAGAAGGCAATCCCAGTAACAGCTCTGAAATCGACACACGCTTAACACTAAAATGTCATTATTTCTGGGAACTTCTTGCTAGAAAAACTTCTAATTACTGTATTCTAGTGTAATGCATACAATTACCGACTCCTGTACTTTTCGGAAAGAATCGATGGGAGAAAGCAGTTAAAGTATTCCTCGGACACAACAGAAACATAATTCAAATAGAATTACCGTCTTTCTAATTGATTTACCCATTTGAAGCTCCACCTCTCACATCTACCGCATTAGAGCGCTGGTAACATAGTAAGAAGGAGAGGGGGAGGTTGCGATGAGATGTCCTCACCTCCTCACAGTAATTCTGGCTTTGCACTAGGACCCCTCCCTTTCCAAGGTTATTAGCACCCAAATAAATGAATATTTTTCAGATGGCTGTCAGAACCGGGTAATTTAAAAGTCCATGTCACACCATCTAATTGAGAACATAGCGTCCACTATCGGCCCCACCGCACGAGGAAGTAAAGACAAACCCCGCGATAGTGTGGATAGGGGCGTTCAGTTACAAGCCTGTAGTACCTCACGGTTCTCCAGTGAGGAAAAGAGCAGAAAAGAGCACGAGGAGGTCTGGAGAACTCGTCCAAAGAGTCTGTCACGCACTTACTTGGAGTGCA